ACCCTAACCTTTGGAATAGAAATTGACAGGATTAAAATCAACTGGTATAAATACAGATGTAACAAGACAGTAAACACCAGAACTTCGCTGGAGATCCTGACCAGAACTTGGCTGGAGATCCTGGCTAGAATCTGGCTAGAGATCCTGGCTAGGCTGCTGATCAACTGAACGCTGTCTCCGTGTCATTCCTTCTTCGCCGACTCCGTCCACACCTTTGGGGACCCCTGGACCTGCTGGGGTTGGACCTCAGCAGATGGGCAGTTCAGATTGCATAGTCACTTGGTGTCTCATGATCAGGTATTAGGACTCTACCACAGCCCAGTAGCAAGCCAGACACTATATTTTAAAGAAATAATTATTTGTAGAAGAAGACATGACTTTGTTCCAAGTTCTAGGGATGGGCAGAGATTTTCCTATTAGGGCTTGCTGGGGGCTAAAAGGAAATGTAAATTTTAAATATCACAGACAACTTAAACACTATTGGATCGACTGGGTCGTGTAGCTCAATTGGCAGACCACCTTGCACTGCGGCCTAAATCTGCTTTGGGACCCATTCAAAATTGGCTGTCCTATGTATGGGTTACTCAGTGAATGGGTTGGAGCAGCACACAATTGCATGTACATTCCCTCCCAAATCCAAAGAGGGCTACCAGTTGTGCTTTTTTCTTAGGGACCAGCAACTTGCCTTTTACTTGGAAGGGATAACCTGGCATTTCCTAACCTCTAGGTCCCTAGAAACTTCACCAAGGTGCCAGGCTTCTGAATGTCCATGGGGTTCATATACCACCCTCGGACATGCCTGGGTCTTCCTAAAGCATCTGGTGTACCTGCTATCTCCTGCTCACTGGGTATAGCATGATGTCGTCAATGTGGTGGATCAGTGTTTTCTTAGAGGGACATCAGGATAATCCAGGTCTCTACAGACTAGATCAGCAGTTGCCAATCTTCCAGACTTCATGGACCACCAGTGGTCCACGGACCACCGGCTGGCGACTGCTGCTCCAAAGGTTTCCCTAAACCAGTGGTTGCCAACCTTTCAGACCTCACGGACCGCCAGTGATCCGCAGACCACCGTTTGGCGACTGCTGGACTAGATGATGACAGAGAACAGAAAAGCTGACAGGTACTGTAAGAAAGTGAAGATATGCTGCTTACTGCTGCCCTGCCGAGTAGAGCTAAGGGCTTTTGGTGGCCCCCACTGATAGGATAACATTTTCCAGACCAAGAGCTGAATGCAAAGTGTCAGAGATGATGCTGATTTGCTTTTATATAGAAACCACATCCGAAAAAATTGTACCACCTGATGGAGTTACAGTGCCCAGGCTTCTGAGAGAGACATTCATTAGGTAAAGATAAATCTCCTCAATAATAAGCAGCCCTCATAGATGCCCGATATTTTAAAGCTTATAAAATATTTTCCTGGGGGGGGGTGGTTTATGAAGGGATGAGGTCACATATGTAATACCTTAATCAATAAAGAAATTAAAGATTGAAAAAATATATATTTTCCCATCTATGATTTCATTAAGCCAGTCAAAGACTAGTGAGGTAGAAAGAATTATCCCCCTTTCATAGATGAGTAACAAGCCCGGAGAAGCTAAGTTACTTGCCTAAGATCACACAGCTGAGGAGTTGGTAGGCAGGATTTGGATGCAGTCCACTTGTTCAAGTCCAATGCCTCTAAAACTCCAGATGAGAGTCCATTTATACCCCACCCACTCACCCCGGCCTCAGTCCCCAGCTGCACAGGGATACCTGGCAAACACAGCATGCTCAGTCAATGCAAGCAGAGGCAAGAAAGGATGAAAGGAGTGGCTGGGAAATGGGCCACAGCAGCGTGGTAGGGCAAGGCCTGAATAACTTTGCTCCAGTAAGTAAGATGCTAATCAGGGTGGCTCCCAGGCACCCCTACCTACTTACCTCCTGAGCACTCAGACACACATTCCCCAGGCAGCCAAAGCAGAGAAGACAAGGGAAGTAACAAGGCTCCATGATAAGGCTTCCAGTCAGTCTCCCCAAAATATGCAGCCTGGAAACCAAGACCAGGCAGCCCTTGGATTGCCTGTGAATGGACAGCACCTCAAACAGGGGGTAAAAAAGGGGAATGCTTTACTTTGGCCAAAAGGACCCCATGGATACACGACTATCCTTTCCTTTTAGCTCTCCTGGAAAACTTGTCTCTTGCTCTCCCTCACCCTCTAGTTAATCTGGAAACTAGAATGCTGCCTTAGAGACTCCGTTCCCATGCTAGATCACTGGGACATGGCTTTCCCCATTCATTGACTACATTTTAACTACCTCTGAGTGGATCAAAAAGGAAACACCTACAGGAATGGGGTTTCTCTGTCCTGATTTTAAAGTGGTTACAGTAATGAGGGCACATTAGGGACTTACTGTGCACTTGAAAGACATTTATATAGCACCACATATATACTAGGGACTATTCTAAGACTTTACAAGTATCAATTCAATTAGTCCTCACAACAGCTATATGAGGTAGGTACTTATATTACCCCATTTTACAGATGGGGAAACCAAGGCCTAGATGTTAAGGAACTGTTGAAGGTGACACAGCCAGTGTGTATGGCAGAGCCAGAATTAGAACCCAGGCAGTCTGGCTTGAGTCCATGCCAACCTCCCCCACTCCTTCGCTTGTCTAAGAGCTTTGTGTAAATCATCTCTGCCTGAGCTGTGACAATGTTAGGGCAGTTTGGGGGGCACTCTGCTTCTGAGCCCAGCACCCTGTTTGGAGTTGCTCATTTTATTGTCTGTGCCCAACCAGAGTGTAAACCCCCTGAAAGCAGCATGTCTCTTCAAATGCATGCGGTGCCTAGCACAGTGCCTGGTTTACTTGAAGCTCCTCAATTACTGGGGCAGTGAATGTTGAAAGAGGTGAGGCACTATCATCCCCATTTACAGAGGCTCAGAGACTAACCTGTTTGAGGGCACACAGCTGTAAGTTACAGTCAGCACAAAACCAAGTCTTCCTGCCACCAGATTCCACACTAAATATAACATTTATTCTTTGTGGTGACTGCATTATATTGCTAATACAGAGTTACCATAATTTATTTAACTGATTGGCATTTGAGCTGACAATTTTTCACTGTAACAGAGCTGCATAAGAACTTTGTACTTATCTTTGTCCACTTCTACAAGCATTTCCATAGGCCAAATCCTAGACTGAGATTGTTGGGTCTACACAGTTCAAGTTTGGATACTACTAGGTTACCATTTAAACAGGTTGTACCAATTTACCACCACACCCCAAGGTATGAGAGTACCTGTTTTCTGTGCTGTGTGTTCAACTTTAAAACTTGCCAGAGGGGACAATTTCAGAAGATGACTATACTGCACAGGGTTTCTCTTAACAGAAACTACCTTCTCCTTAATAGCTATGAAAAATGGTTTGATTTTGGAGACTTTTTAAAAAGACTTCTGTAGGTCACCCCTCTGGGAACTAGGTTCAGCTTCCCATGTCCAGAAACCCCGTATGAACCTATGCAAAGGTCTGAACAACAACAGGCTGCCAACGCAGAGAAAAGGGGGGGCTGTGATAAGTGCATCTAGAGGGCCGCTCCTCCGTCACTCACCCAGGAAACCAGCTGCCACCTCAGCTCTGAGTGGGAGTTTCTTTTCACGTTGTTTCCTAAAATAAAAGTCATAACCAGCTTGGAAGAACTTGTCATCAAACAGCACAGAGAAACAGAATAGAGTAGGAGAGTTGGTGAGGTTATTCAGTCCACTACCATCATTTATCAGCTATGGAAATGGAGACCCAGAGATGCTGAGTCATTGATTCAAGGTCACACAGAAAATCCGAAAAAGCAGTGATGGGACCCGGCTCAAACAGTCCTGTCAGTCTGCCTTCCTTCCATCTCCGTGGCTTTTGAAAATGATGGAAGAGTTAGGTTTCTTGAGAAGGGACATCTGAGTGAAAATTATGGCAGCATAGCTGTATGTCCTTGGGCATGCTGTTCTTACTTCCTTGGAAGCCCTTCTCTGCCTAACTGCTTGAACTCCTCCTCATCCTTCAAGACCCTAAAGAATTGTTAGGTTCTGTGAAAACATTCCCTCATTTCCCAGCGCAGCTGGTTGTCCATTGCTTTATGTTCCCATGCCCTGACCTTAACCAGCACTCAGACACTTTATGGTGAAAATTCCTTGAAGGAATGGGTGTATCTAATTTACCTTTGCAACCCCAGCACACACCTTAGGCTCCAAAGGGACTGACTTCGGACCACAAAGTCCAAGAGGGAGGGAATCTATCATCCTTCCCAGCTCCTGGCTCACAGTATGAACTCAAGAAGGGTTCATTGCTGCTGAAAGAATGTGAACAGGAAAGTTGCTGTGTGAGGAGATTCTAATCCTGGAGCCATTGAGCTTTCGACAGACACTACCTGGGGTTGCCCAAGTAGGTCAGGCTGGCAAATGAGTGGGCACTAAAAGGCACAAATAGCCTTCACCCGCATCTAGGTCTCCAGGGCTCTGAGGCACTTTCAAAGATAACCTCATTTGAGTGAACTTTGTAAATGCTCTTTGGTGTTATTTCCACGAGGCTTACCTCTTCTCCTGCCAAGAAAACTGCTCCCACATCTGGATGATCCAGAGGCCAGGACTCCAAGACACGGATATGGTGGAGGGAAGGAGTAAATCAAGCTAAATACATGACTGAACACATATTTAGTTTACAGGACTTAGGAGAAAAAAATAAAATTAACTACAGCCATGAAATACTCTATGTACAATGAGTAGCTCAACAAAGAATTAATGCTACTTTCATAAAGTGGGCTGAGCTATACTGGTTGCAGACTTCCTTAAAGGTATTGGAAAAGAACACGCAGAAGCTGGAATGTGGTATTTCATTATCTCCAGTTTACTTAATTTGCTTGTTTACACATACGATCTGTGTGTATATAACAGTGGCAAGAGCCATTCTCTAAATACAATCTGGTACTCAGACTATGACAGATGCATGTGGAAAACGAGGCGTCGGTGAATGAACCTCCATGTGGAAAGGCAAAACAAGCATGGCAGTACTCTGGGATCACAGATGCCCTCAAAAGCCTCTTGTTCAGCGCCTGGGGACAACACACTTTTCAGAAGACAATACAAGCCTATTTCAACAGGAGACACAGACCCCCAAATGGCACTCAAAAGATGTTAGTTTCCCTGCCTTCTCTGGAGGAGCCAAAAAATTTTAAGGGCTTATCAAGAAAAAGGGGTAGGGGACTATACATGTGCTGGGCATTTTACACGCATCATTTCCCTGAATCATAACAGCATCACCTCTGTATTACACCAGGAAAATGAGGCTTGCCCATGGTCAGATGGCTCTCAGCAGTGGTATCAAGAGTTGAACCCACATCTCGTTTGCCTAAGCCCAAACTCAGCTGCACCAAACTGTCTCACATAGGGACAGAGGGCATGCTCCCAAGAAGAAGGCAAGGGTGCTAAGAATGAACAGGAAGCAGTGGAAGACTAATCAATGTGCAAGGCTCAGTAATGGATACTTTCTGCAGAGTTATTGAATGCTGAGCTTGACTCAGACCCAGACGAGAAAACTGTCTAGAGATTTAAGTGTGACAAATGAACTTCTGGAGTCACCTTGCGCCTGTTGCCTTTTGGTGCTGAACATGAAACTTTGGAGAGACTTCAATCCCTTCCACAAGCTCCTGTTACCTACCCCATCCCCACTTCCACCCCACTCCCACTCCACAGAGCAAAACTAATCTCCTGGGGCCACTGCCCTTTACCAATGTCCCCAAATCACCAGGGTGACACCTCCAGAATTTCATTGCCAGTGTTTCTGTTACCTTCTTCGGGTACAAGGTAACACACCTCACTTTTTTTTTAAATAATCATCTTTTTTTTTTAATTGGTTTCAAAGAGGAAAGGAGAGGGAGAGGTAGAAACATCAATGGTGAGAGAGAATCATCAACTGGCTGCCTCTTGCACATCCCACACCGAGGATCAAGCCTGAAACTTGGGCATGTGCCCTGATGGGGAATCAAACCCTGACCTCCTGGTACATAGGTTGATACTCAACCACTGAGCCACACCAGCCCCGGGCCACCTCACATTTTGATTGATACAAGGTAACTTGCAGCTCAACTGGATACAAAGGGGATACGAACTTCATATTTTAAATATATCATTATGTGAAATACAATGTACCCTGAAGGTTTTCCAGAGCTCAAGCTTCTAACGACCTGAACTTGAGTTAAGCCAGTGAGTGCAGTGCTTATCTATATGCTATTAACTGGGGGGTAATGGGGGCATCAAAGAAGCTTCAAAGATGATTATCCAATATGCAAGGGGTTCAGTTTGAAAGGCTTAAGGAGACAGCCTGAGGGAGGGGAAGGAGGTGTCTTATCACAGAGCATATAACTGTGCCTTTGTGAGGTGGAGGTGACAGGATTTCTAATCCTTCCCAGCATTCTCACAATCAAGACCACAGAATCACAAGGCGGGAAATTGAGAAGGGCTGCAAAGGGGACATAAAAGGGGGTTTCAAGACCAATAGAATAGGCCCAGGTTTAGTTTGCCTTTGATGGTGGTACAGATAAGAGGAGGGTGGAACCAAAGTCATGCCACCATTTGATAAGGACATCTGTGCAAACAGCTTAGTTTGTTGCCATCAAAGGCAATGGAAGACATTCCCCTTCGCTTCTGACTTATCATAATCATATCCAAAAGGTAAAAATGCCTTAGGCCACAGCAAATGATCAACATACATATGACTCTTGAAGCATAGGTCAGTCTATACCAATGATGTGTGGTCAGGAAAGTTTCAGTGCAATTACACATTTTGTAAAATTACTCTGACTTGGCTTAAAATTGATCAAGTTGTTATTAAAATGTCTACTTCCTGGTTTTATTCTTAACAGAGAAAAGAGCCTCACAAGGTAGAATTTAATACCATAAGCCAAGGGTTTGGTTTATAAAAAGTTAGTGTTCTAAAAAAAAAAACAACCCTCAAAGCAATCTACACACATGTGCCAAAGTGCAGCAGTGGAGTTTGAGTTATTTTCAGGAGTTTTGTCAACAAAGAACAAATGCAGAGTTGTTATTAAAAACTATAAAGCATTCACTCAAAATATAAGAAAGAAAAGTTAACCTTATTGCTTCAAACACCAATATATATAGTAGACAACATGACGGAAAATTCTCTCTGTTCATTACATGAAAATCATCCAATATTCACTTGGAGAGGCACTCCAGTTTAAGTGTTTTGATAGCTAATCACAAGCCAGTTGTAATATTTAACATTCCACAGATGAAACAATTACTAAAACCATTGTCTTTCAGGCAACAGTTGGTTACTTTGACCCAAGGGAAATATTGTTAAATAACAGCATCAACAGCCACTAAAACAAAAGGAAACTAGAATCAGGGAGAGAACAATGGCAGCAGAGGAGTCCTGAGGCCCTGGCCTCCCCTTCAGCCACACAAAGACAAAGGAGGCTTTCCTGATTCTGCACTCTCACTGAGCCTAAGTGCCCTCTAGGGACAAAAGGGACAGTCCAGATTAAGGTCAAGTCTTGCCAGGGACAGAAAGTGCCTAACTGGAAATGGTGGTGCTTGTGACACACGGTGATGTCGCCAAGAACAGTCTGGAGAGTGAACTCACTTCCCAGACTCCATCATCACCCACCAAAACTGCCTGGTAAGCTTCCTCTCTGATGTAGGATCAATAATTTAGCCAAATAATTAAGAAAAATAAATGAAAAATATATTACCCATTGTCCTGCTGTCACTCCTTTTGTTTCTCTTTTATTTCTTATAACTGTCTTGCTTCAAATTCAAACGAGAGGTCTGGGGAGGAAGTCCTGGGGAAAAAGATTTCAGATACCAAAACCCATATGTCCCATACCAGCCCAGCAAACCGAACAGGGTGCCAAATACTTTCTGGGACAGGTTGTGGAAATAAACGGCAGTGCACAGAAACATCCACACCCAAATGAGGGTCAGGAAGCCCAGGGCGACGACCAGGGCGGTGATGGCGGTGTGGAGGCTGTGGCTTCGGTCCGTCTTCACCTCATGCAGCACAGCCATCTCCTCCACAATCATGAGGGCACAGAAGGTCAGCAGGAAGGAGTGGCCCGAGATGTCAAAGCCGTGCCAAAAGCCCCCTGCCTGGTGGCACTGCTGCTTATTCTGGGGCTCCTTTCTGAGCCCCTCCAGGGCTGGTGACTGGTAGCAGCTGCCCGTGTAGTGTTCAACACTGGAGAAGATGACAGTGCAGACGTACCAGATGGCCGTGCCCACAAGCAGGGTGCTCAACCGCCGCAGGACCAGGCCAGCCTTGCCTGTCAGGTGATAGTTGGTGAGGGCAATGAAAGGCAGGAGGAGACAGAAGGTCCAGCCCCAGGCCACTTTGACAAAATACCTGGCAGAGGAGGAGAGTGGAAGTGAAGAGAGGTCACATGGCAGAGAGGAAACAATGTCACAACCCAGGTCTCTAGACTCTCGAGGGAAAACGAGAAAAGTTGATAAAAGCTACAGATGACAACTTACTAAATACGTTAAATGTATTAACTATTTAGTCCTTAACAACTGCATATGGTAGGGACTGTTATTATTCCCATTTCCAGACAAGAAAACTGAGGCCCAGAGAGGTATCATGCCTAAAGTGGAGATCACAAGTCGTGGAGCTGGGATTCAAATCCAGGGTCTGTGATCTTAAGCACTATGCTATTTGTTCAGGAAAGTAATAATAACTGAGCATCTGCCATAGGCCAAGAGCTTTCACCTACCTTCACTTTCCCATAGAACACTCACACTCCCTGGGAGGAAGGTATCATTTTCCCCATTTTAGAGATAAAGAATCTGAGACTCAGAAAAGTTGAAAAACTGGCCCAGGGTCATACTCACACAACCCACAAGCACAGATGAAACCAAGGTTTGGCCAGTCCCAAAGCCCATGCTTTTTCTACACCAGGGTTCCTTCCTGTGTGGCAGAAAACGATCTCGGAAAAGAGCCTGACTTCACACTAGAAGATCAGACTCAAATCCTGACTCTGACTTACCTTATTGCCACACTTTGGCCTGTTTCCTCAGCTATCAAATAGCACTGAGGGAACCCAGTGATTTTTAAAATCCCTTCCCGAGCCCATGATTCCCTGGTTCCTTTCCATGAATTAGCATAGAAGCTTGGTACAAAACGCCAGGATCCATGGCTACTGGCAAACAACAGGGCCTTGTCTGCCAGGCTGCTTGGCTCCCCACTCTCCCAGGCCAGATAAAGCAGCAGCTGCCTCGTCTGCCTCCCCTGTGCTGTCAAAGGTGGCTGACCTGGGGACCAGCAGCAAGAGACTTGGGGCGACTACCACTCCCATCATCTAGTCTTAGTCCAGCCTCCACATGGGTGAGGAAGGAAGGTGGCCAAGGACAGGACAGCCCTGTCCTGGGTTCCAAAGGTGTCTAAGACACCACCCAGGGCCTATCCCAAATGTTTCCCCTGAGACTGATACAGATCTTGCCAGAGCCAACACCTGGCAGGCTTTTGACAAGGCTGCTGGGGACAGAGACCAGGGTTTTAAGTCGATAACTGAAGTTGGGTTGATTTGGAGAGACGCTGCTGACACTGTAATTCTAAAGAATCTAGGGCCACAGCACCAGGAAGAAATGTCAGCGTTTACCTACTGCAGTAGTGTTTTTGTGCAATAGTCCAGGAGTTTAAAAAAGAAAGAAATAAAGAAAGCAAAAGCAGTGAGTGGGTGCCGTGAAGGCGATATCTCAAAGAGCCCAGCTGGATGGCTTTCCTGGGTCCCTGCCATGAACTTTGAGTGGCTGGGAAAGTCCAAGGAGATCCAGGGGAAAGGGCAGAGCCTGGAGGGCTCCACGCCTCCGCGGTTACCTTGCAGGGCAGGCTTCGTCCTAGGCTCGGACCGGGCTCTCAAAGCGGAGGGGGGGCGGGTCTTTCACCGGCGGTGATGGAACTGTCAGATGCTGGGGGCACGGGGGTCAGGGTGGCGGCAGGGGGACTGACACCCGCAGGCAGCAGGGAGGGGGCATCTCCCCAGGGCAGGGGCCAACTCCTGGCTGCAAGGGGAGGCGGGGGAGCAGCGACCTCGGCTGGTTCACCCGCTCCCCGCCCTGCGCCCCTGCATACACATGGCCACACACCACCCTGCTCGTCACCCGCCCAGGCTGTCCGGGCTGGGTGTGCACGCCGAGCTGCTGGTGACACTAGCTGTGCCGGGTCCCTCGGCCGCGACACGCGTGCAGATGCTCTCGCGATCGGGAGGACTTCCCCTTCCACTGACCCGGCCATCAGAGCAGCTAGCCCCCAGCTCTGGACGAGGCGACAGCTGGGCGGCTATGGCGGGGGCAGGAGGACCCAGGGCGCACTCACACGTTGAGGACGTTGCGCTTGTTGCTGAGGTAGCTCTCGGGCAGCGGGGAGAGCTCCTTGAGAAGGGAGCCCGCCAGCATGGAGGCCACCAGCGCCCAGGGCAGGTAGCGCCGCACG